CCCCAAAACCCCAAAACCCCAAAACCCCAAAACCCCTTAAGAGGAGTTTTGGATTGAAATAGACATTAAATTTGTTAGAATTTCAATGAAAACATTGAGAAATCCAAGGAAAATGACCCTGAAGGGATTTATAGGACTGAGTAATAGGTTAAGGAAGAAGCTAGAGAAGTGCTTCGCCCTTGATCCTGTTGTGCTGTTTCTGCTTGGGTATAATTATAGGAAGTTTGAAGATGACTGTGGTTCGAGTAGATTTGAGGAGTTTGTGGAAAGTGTAAAAGAGAGTATGGATACTCGAATTATGAGTAATGCTGAGCTAGAACAGACTTATAGCACTCTGTATAACCAATCCTCACTTTCAGAAGTTTTCAAACTAGACTGTCTAAAATAACCATAAAACCACCTTCCAAGATACAGCCAAAGATCTCCCAAACCTTACAAAAACTCTCCTTTCAACCCCATCTCCAGGACAAGAGACCCAGAAAAAGGCTAATTTCGAGCTAGAACCCCTCCCAAAATTCCTAACCCTCCCTACCCTCCCTCCTGCCCCTGCCACCCCCACTTCCAGCTCCTCCACATCCCCCCTTCCACACGCTCAAACCACCCAAAATCCCCTTCCGAGGCCTCGCAGACCTCCTCCTGGCCCATTTCCTCCAAAATCCCTGATGAAGCGACCAAGGATTTCCTCTAAAGACTCGGCCTAGTCAGGTTTATGTACACTTAGTGCCTAAACCTACTACTTCAGTTCCTTCAGCCCCAGTTAAGCCTACTCAGTTCTAAAATTTCCACTAAATTTCGACTTCTCACGGCCAGCAGCGCTGGCTGGATTTTGGGGCTTTAAGGGAATTTTCTTTAAGAAAATATTTATGGGTGTAAGGAAAAACTTGTTCTACTGGTTATAAGAGTGCTAAAGATAAAAGCGAAGGGTAGTATAGGGGAAGAAATGCTCTGTTAAAGGAATTCTAATCTTTCAAACTCTTATTCCTTTGGATTTAGACTAAAAGTAATAGTAATAAAAAGGAATCTTAAATTTTACTTTTCTTAGTTCAGAGGTTTTGTGTGGGGTTTTGGGGTTTTGGGGTTTTGGGG